CACTCACTCACTCTCTCTCACACACACACACACACACACACACACTCACTCACACACACTCACTCTCTCTCTCTCACACACACACACACACTCTCTCTCTCACACACACACAAATCATTTTCACACGACGACGTCCCCGAGTGGCCTCAGAGTTGTCTGATTTAGCTCTTGCTGTAGATTGTGCAGCCAACAAAACATTTAAAATGTATCTTTACAAAACATCTTCAATGGACAAAAAAAAATTAGACATGACTAAGACATTAAGGCAGACTGTAATTCCAGCCTCATGTTTTAGTAAATATCACACCTGCTCTGATGCTCCATGAGATGACTGACAGACTGAAAGTTATTTTGCTCCACATGTTTCAAGTGTGTGTGAGTGTGGGCCCTATTTTAATGATCTAAGCCAGGGGTGTCAAACTCCGTTCCCGGAGGGCTGAAGCCCTGCAGAGTTTAGTTCCAACCCTGCTCCAACACGCATATCACGTAGTTTTCAAATAAGCCTGAAGGACTTGATTAGTTGGATCAGGTGTGTTTAATTAGGGCTGAATCTAAACTCTGCAGGGCTCCGGCGCTCCAGGAATTGAGTTTGACAGCCCTGATCTAAGCGCATGGTCTAAAGCGCACGGTGCACTCAGGGCGTGTCCGAATCCACTTTTGCTAGTTTAATGATGGGAAAAATGGTCTAAACTGGTTGTCCCTATTCTCTTAATGAGTAATGGGTGTGTTTTGGGCGTAACGTGCAATAAACCAATCAGAGTCTCATCTCCCCTTTAAGAGCCAGTTGCGCTCGCGCCATGGTGAATTCGCTATTTAAACAGCAGAATTAGCAAGCGCAAAGACAGAACGCGTCTACAGAGATGAAACGGAGCTGCTCCTGGGCGAGCAAATAGGTAGCCTAATTCTGATACATGCAATGACTATCCATTATGACATGTAGGCATTTTTATATTTATGTAGCCTACACAATAATAATATTTTACATTGTAATCCTTTAATTTTTAATATTTGGCATGTTTGTGTGCTGCTGCGCGTCCCTGTGTTGTGTGTGTAATAAGCAGAGTGTACGAGCGCTGTGCACCCGCCTATACTAACGCACTCTTTCAATAACAAAAAAAATAAATATTGCGCCAGACTTTAGACCAAGTTTTTGTTGGTCAATGGCGGGGTCTATTTCAGTTGCCTCAAAATAGCAACACGCCAGCAATGCACCTGAACTCGTTTTCAGATCAGCACGCCCATGAGCACACTAATGAGCGCAAATTCATTTGCTATTTAAATGGGTCATATGATGCTGCTAAAAATAACATTATTTTGTGTATTTGGTGTAATGAAATGTGTTTATGCGGTTTAAGGTTCAAAAAACACATTATTTTCCACATACTGTACATTATTGTTTCTCCTCTATGCCCCGCCTTTCTGAAACGCGTAGATTTTTACAAAGCTCATCGTTCTGAAAAGCGAGGTGTGCTCTGATTGGCCAGCTATCCAGTGCGTTGTGATTGGCCGAATACCTCAAGCGTGAGACGGAAATGTTACATCCCTCACCATACTGTGATGCCTTTGGCAACCACATGTGACGACCCCGGGCTGGACTCCGTTTCGTCCACGGTGAAAGCCGATC